GCCGCATTCTGCCTCATATATATCTCATAAGAGTGTGAAATGTCTGCCTTGTGTGTTTAAGGACAAGATTGGGCCGTATTCTGCCTCATATATATCTCACAAGAGTGTGAAATGTCTACCTTGTGTGTTTAAGGACTAGTGTGGGCCGTGTTCTGCCTCATATATATATCTCATAAGAGTGTGAAATGTCTGCCTTGTGTGTTTAAGGACTAGATTGGGTACACAGCCACAGAGTGTAAGGCATAAACTGATAATGTCCACACCGTCTGGGGTCACCAGGTGATACTTCACGCGAGAAACAACCGTTCGATTGTCTAGAGTTAGCCATGCTCTTACCCAGAGATACCAAAAAATATGCGTTTGCTCAGCAGTCTAGAGACATAAACTTAAACAACACTCATTTGTTTTTAAGACACGTCAAATAGAAAGGTTCGATTACCTGGTCCTGTAATTCTTGCAACATCTCCATCACATGCCCCGCTTTCCCTGCAATTCAGGAGTGGACAGGTTCAATTGGACTACCAGTAGGTGTCCCATATCTGGCCCACCTCTTATCGGTGTGATATCGTGCATTTGTGTATGTCTAGAAATGTCCACAAACCTCTCCCTCCCCCTACTCCTAAATCTGGGGCCACCCAAAGAACTGACTAGTATCTCGGCAAAATCCAGCAGGCACTAGCCGGTCGGGTAATACAAGCAAGCTTTGCATCTCACGCTGATTGAGAAGGATAGTTATGCTAAACATATATGTGGGATTCATATACCACATGATAGCTATGTTACACATATATGTGGGAATCATATACTACATGATAGTTATGTTACACACATATGTGTAGGCATTATATACCACGTTGAGATGTACTTGGAGTCCGCCCCAACAAGCGAGCTTTGTCACATGATTATTTGAGTAGTTGACTGATCGAGCTTTATCTACTACAGACAGTCTGTTTCGCGACAATATGTACTCGGATCACGCAACATGAACACCATTACTACAGCACCACCCCAACGCCAATTGAACCTTTTCACGTGTTCAAATAGGCCTGTGTCCAATTAAAGTAGGGGAGGCGGTTATTCACTATTAATGTAAGACTAGCGAGAGGTATTCATACTACCAATCGATCTTAGGATTGGGACCCAATACGGGGTTCATGCACATCGGCCGCAGCATACGCCTTATCAGGACAATACTCCACACAAGAACACCTACTTGGCAGATCCTTGTGAAGCAGCACTTTCCTCACAGTCGTGTACACGTTGTCGCCGAGTTCATGCGGGAATACTGGCGAGTTTGTAAACCTGCACAGGAGAAGGTAGTTAGCTTTTGGGTTTAAGGTATAGGGGCCTGGGTAGAGTTTGGGGTACAAGCATAGGTGGGTAAGTATGAGGATTGACATTAATTGAGACATGGTTATAGGCAGTCAGGGTTGCAGAGGAGAAATAGCAACAATGCACAAAGTCTTCCACAAAACAAAATGGTAAGTGTTGCTAGTAGCAACATTCCAGCCATACGGTGAAGAGTGCACCGGTAGAAGCACAAGATAAGACAGTCGCAATACCTGCACGAATACTCATACAGATTTATATACTATATACTACTAAGATATACAACTTTATATAT